TCTCTCTCTCTCTCTCTCTCTCTCAAAATGTCTAAAAGTTGCCCTTTAATTATAGGTCAGTATATATGCGAGCCATGACTGGAGTGTCCATCAAAATGGAAACCTTCCATCACCTGATCATTAATGATAAAGTGATACAAAAAATAACTGATAAAATTTATATATATTTCTTCCCAATCGTGCCTCACATTCAATCGATAGTTAATTGTATTATATTTATATTGATTTTATTTTGAATCAAAACAAACCGGTAATTTTTTTATTTTTTCCAATTATATTTAATAAAAAGTTTATTTAACTTAATGTAATTATTATAAATATATATATAATTAAATTTATTTAAAACCATTTCAAATAAAATCATTTTAAAAAATTATATAATTTCATACATTTTTATTGTACTTAAGTATAAAACATAAATATTTTAATTCATACAAAACAACGGTTCATATAAGCTCTCAATTTATACAATTTGAACCAAAATAACAAAACTATATCTTCTGATTATAACTAAACTATATGTGAAAATCCAAGAGTTGAACATTTGTTATTAAATTGCAATACTTTGTGATGCCTTTAATCCGATTTAATAGCGTTTTGCTGAACGGAAACAATGATAATAGACTCAGACATTGCGGTTATTTAGGTGTACAGTCAAACATGAATGCTATCAATGAAAGTCCAGTTTATGTCATATTTAAATCACTGATTATTTGTCTGTTAATTGTCTGGTATATAAAAAGTTTTATTGATATAATTTGAACGTATGATTGATTATCTATAGAATAAACGAAACTCGTTGACCCATTCGGTACTGTAATGTCTAAATAGCCGTTATGTTTGGGTTAATTCTGACCGGATTTAGAGCCGGGATTGAGGACCACATATAATAAGCGCAACCATTGATGAATTCCTCGACCAGAGTATGGCATTGAGTATAGGATTCCATAAACAATTCGCTGCTCTTATTTGTCATTTGCTTCTTGAATACCAAACATATTTCCTTACATTTTTAAAAACAAAAAATTGTATCAATACTTAAATAGTAATACAAAATCGCATCTCATATTCTAATTGACTCAATACTTACAGCGACTGAATTGCTATCATTTATATTTAATAATATAAAACAATCAAGATTCACTAAACAAACGGTTTGTGAGTTATTTAGAACAACGCATAAGTAAAATGTCAATTAGATATTAAACCAAACATTATATGATATATTCTCGAGAGATCTTCTTATCTAATATACAAATATATATTGTTTTGCAAATATTATGTGAAAAATAAGTCTTTATTGAGGACGAGCTGAGCGTTAAATACAATTATTGCTAAATTTACTCATATTTTGAGTATTTCTAAGGCGTCTGTTATCAACAGATTCTCTTGAATCTTATGTTTTTTATTCTTGACTTTATAACAGACATAACTGACAATAAATGTATTGCAATTTCACTGAAGACATAATGAAAGTAATTTGTTTGCCTACACTTTGCAGTGCGTATTGTATTTGATTTGCATTTCTATTGGTTTCATGATCTTAACGGACATTTTGGGCAATCAAAAAGTCAAACAGTTTTTATAATCTAATCACCAATTGGTTTAGTCTTGCATTTGGTTCAGTCCCTTCATAGTTACCATATCTGTCATCACTCATAGCAAAGTAAGCAGCTATAAGAATGTCCCCCATATTGTCATACGGTTTTTGCTACCCCTCCACTCAATGGGGTATTTATATGCCTGTCTTTCTCGGTTGTCACGGATAATAGTGACACCACTAGAGACTGCAAGTTGTGGTCAAGTGCTCAGTAGTATAACTGTTCTGTTGGCACTCAGTTGTTGCAAAAACCTGTCATCAATTCTGTATTGTGTTGTCGTTAAAGTCTGGCCAAAGACACGAATCGACACCAAAGACCAATACGTTAAGACAATATGGGATCGTTGTTATAGTTGGGAACTGCTGTGAATGGATGAGTTGGAAGTGCGGATCCTGACATACGATGACATACTATTTGCCAGATCTAACTCTTCCAGCTCATTCACCACAACCTATATCATTGACTAAACCAATTCCCGGTCATTATTACACTGTTTGTCTGTTCCTAAACTATGCTTAATGTTATGTCTGATGACAACTGGTATGAGAATCACTGAGAACTAAGTGGAGTAGTGGTCTCTTCAGTAAATGAGGTTAACTGAGATTCAACTCCTCCAACTTATTGCTCTCTGATTGCCCACAAATGTCCGATCGATTATGATATCCATTTCTAACGCAAATCAACCTTTTCTATCACTTTCTATTAATTGCAGCTTTCGTTTGCTTTTTTAATCTTTCATTGCGTTTAAATTGTTTTATTTGTCGCTTTCATTATAAGAGTATTTTATTTTATTGTAATAATTATTTTATTCTCAGTATTGTTATCCAAAACTAGTAATATATTGTACACATTGTTTAGTGATAATATTCTGGGCGTTATAGAGATTATCGCTAAACAAATATTACAAAAGCGAGAGAATCAACCGTTTTCTCGCTCTGCGCTCTCATTCCTCTATTGCTTTAATAAACTTTTTTGTCATTTTATGACTTAAGATATAGACTTGAAGTCGAAAGACAATTGTCTCAAAGTCTACAACTAATGACTAATATTAATATCTCTTGACTTTTCTTTTGAAATTCTTTTATAATTGCAATAATTTTTATAGGAAAGCATTTCTTGACTTATTTATCAGTATATCATTACAAGTGTCTCATTATCTAAGTAACAGATATCCAGGCGTTTGGAAAGCAAACAATTGTTAAAACCGGATATTTGATAAAAAGCTCTACATTTTTCTAGATTTCACCTGAAATACAGATTACATGAAACCATTAATATTTCTATAATTTCATAAATCTTTTCTTTACATGTGTTTTCTTTTGGGTACAGTTTTATGCCATCGATTTGGAAGCGATTTCATGTCTCGTAACTTTTGAACAAACGCTCATTTTGTGCCAAAATAATGATATCGACTCTCAGATCGATGAAATCTCAATCACAGACACTGAATCTTCTGAACATAATTCAAAGCAATTGTCAGCCAAACCATTGGGCACTTTCACACCCGATATGCCATCCGTTCCCAAATCGGAACGAATTAAAACCAATAAATATTGTTACGATATAATTAGATTACTGGCCAAATCACAGCAGGCAGTCATCCACTTCTCCACTCTATTCCAAGAGCTCAGAAGCGCTAACAGAGAAGAAGATTCGCATTCTGTTAACTTTTCCGACATTTCAAATGAGCTATTTTTCGAGCTTTTAATCTCTAAAATCAATTCAATTCACGACAAAGAGATAAAACTAAGTCAAAAAGATTGCAATTCTTTTGTTAATCAAATCAATCAAAGAAATAATTTGAATGTCTGTCCCTTAAGGACGTTAAATAGCGTTAGGTTTCGGTGTTTTTGTAAGAAATTGAATGTCAATAATATACTCATTACACTTATTCCGAGCACTTTTGGTGATTTAAAATGTTTGACATTTGGCGATGAAATGCAATCGAATAACTCATTGAATTCATTTCACGTAATCGACGAGAACTCAAATTCTGATGACTCTATCTATGGATCTCTAAGTTTAGGAATTTTTATATATAAGACTTCTTTTAGTGATTTAAGCGAACAATTAGTGTTTATATCGGAAACGAAACGATCGAAAGACATATACATCGATAAATCATATAAATGTCACAAATCGGATGATTTAAGCCATGCTTTCAAACCATTGAAGACGAGCGACATTGAGGCCGAAACACACCCTAAAAATTCTCTCAAACAATTTTGTCAAACTCTTGAGACAATATACGGCAATTGTATGACACAAGCGCTCTATAAGTCACTAGAATTTGGTTATTTCATTGATAAAAGGGATACCATTAGAATCGCTGGAAACATATGCACCAAAATTGTCTTAAATATAGATATTTCCAAATGTTTGATCTCTCTTTGCGAGGACTTAAAACACTATTTGGGATATTTTGGATGCCATGAAATGATGTTACAAATACTTCAGGACAGGGCTAATGACACGCAGACACAGATCACAGAAGCGGTGACCACAGCGGCCATTGACTGTCGCCGAGACCTGTTGTGGAGCTGTCTATTGCCACGAGTGGCACACAATAGCGATTCCGAAGACTTTAGTTTAACTATCGCTCAATTCGATGAACTCTTGGGTTTAGTCGACACAATCTCTTTGAGTCAATACGACAAGCGTCTGATGCCATTCACCGGTCTTCAGATGTCATGGTATCAGTCTTTGGCCAAAACACTCGTCCATAAAATTGGGATGAATTACAGAGACTTTTCTTCGCCGGACATGAAATCAATTAAATTAGTAATCAATGAATGAATACTAATATATATTTAGAATTTATGCAATTATTTGATTTATATCATAGGCTTTCAGTCAAAGTTGTTGTTTGGATTGTTTTATATTATTAAATATAAATGATAGCAATTCAGTCGCTGTAAGTATTGAGTCAATTAGAATATGAGATGCGATTTTGTATTACTATTTAAGTATTGATACAATTTTTTGTTTTTAAAAATATAAGGAAATATGTTTGGTATTCAAGAAGCAAATGACAAATAAGAGCAGCGAATTGTTTATGGAATCCTACACTCAATGCCATACTCTGGTCGAGGAATTCATCAATGGTTGCGCTTATTATATGTGGTCCTCAATCCCGGCCCTAAATCCGGTCAGAATTAACCCAAACATAACGGCTATTTAGACATTACAGTACCGAATGGGTCAACGAGTTTCGTTTATTCTATAGATAATCAATCATACATTCAAATTATATCAATAAAACTTTTTATATAATTAACAGACAAATAATCAGTGATTTAAATATGACATAAACTGGACTTTCATTGATAGCATTCATGTTTGACTGTACACCTAAATAACCGCAATGTCTGAGTCTATTATCATTGTTTCCGTTCAGCAAATCGCTATTAAATCGGATTAAAGGCATCACAAAGTATTGCAATTTAATAACAAATGTTCAACTCTTGGATTTTCACATATAGTTTAGTTAAGTTATAAAAGTTTAGTTATAATCAGAAGATAGTTTTGATATTTTGGTTCAAATTGTATAAATTGAGAGCTTATATGAACCGTTGTTTTGTATGAATTAAAATATTTATGTTTTATACTTAAGTACAATAAAAATGTATGAAATTATATAATTTTTAAAAATGATTTTATTTGAAATGGTTTTAAATAAATTTAATTATATATATATTTATAATAATTACATTAAGTTAAATAAACTTTTTATTAAATATAATTGGAAAAAATAAAAAAATTACCGGTTTGGTTTGATTCAAAATAAAATCAATATAAATATAATACAATTAACTATCGATTGAATGTGAGGCACGATTGGGAAGAAATATATATATATTTTATCAGTTATTTTTTGTATCACTTTATCATTAATGATCAGGTGATGGAAGGTTTCCATTTTGATGGACACTCCAGTCATGGCTCGCATATATACTGACCTATAATTAAATGGCAACTTTTAGACATTTTAACAGAGAGAGAGAGAGAGAGAGAGAGAGAGAGAGAGAGAGAGAGAGAGAGAGAGATGTAAATACCGGAACAAATTTGTTTCTTGACTAGAGATACGCGATATCCCACTGCAGTTAACTCGAACTCAATGCCCGACACAGTTGTGTCCAAACACGTGAATTGTGCCTGAATTACGCTGGGAGTGGACGGACCCGAAGACAAGTCGAATTTGGCTTTAACAGAGCCGAGACCCGCCAGACCTCCCGTCTGAGAGGTATTGGAAAGGCGGTCGAAGCGCCACATCGCCTGCTTTGTCGCCGGATTCCTGTTATGTAATAAATAGACATTTATTAGAAAATCATTTCTTAATTAAATTTAATTTTCAATACCATTTGCCTTCAGGTCGTGATTGCATAGAATGCGGTTCGCCATCAATATTGACAAAAATACAGACATTTCTTAGGGATTCAATTTGAGCCAAAGAAGAGCTGTTGTATTTGTAATCCACTTTCAAACTAGTGGTCTGTGGCTCACACTTCCAGTACGAGACCAGCTGTAAAGGTGTACTCTTCGCCCCCTGAAGACAACGCATTTGGTATTTCAAAACATCGATATTATAATAACGAGAATTGGGTGACTGTTCGTAGAGACGACGGATGTGTGACATGAGTGCAGACATATTCACTTCAAAACTCGAAGAATCACTTGTTATGGGTCTTAAAGACTCTGAACTTCTGGAAATGAAAGAAAAAATAATGTAAATTTATTGATCACTGTTTTGTTTAATACAATTCTCACTCAATTAACAATTCTTTGTTGGGATAAATATTCTCCAATTTTGAGGACTTATTGAGTTTGAAAGTGAGTGGAGAGGCGTATGGATTGTTAGCGAAGGCCTGGAATATAATACAACAAATCAAATAATTGTGATCTCATGTGATAGGGTTGGTGTCAAACCTGAACAATGCCCGCCGGGAACGCCATTTTCAAACTGCCGATCACTTGGACCTGACATTTGGTTTCGTCGGTGCCCTTAAAGCAGGCGCTGACTGACTCTTGGAGTGCAATAGCGATGGGAACGGCGTCTGAGATTCCGAGTGTGAGAGGAGAGGGCCCTCGACTGGAGCCGACAGAAATGGGAGTCATTCTGAAATCGCTGGATAAGCTGCTGACACTTTCGCACCGGGAGATTGTGCTGTTGTGACTGCTTTGGTGAGACAGCTGTGGAGATGTGTGTGGATTACGCTTAGATGCCGGCC